CCAAATCTTTCAGTGGGCTGCAGAAAACAATATGAAGTTCAACGATGAGAAATTTCAATTACTCCGTTATGGTAAACATGAGGAAATTAAAATTTCATCAGAGTACAAAACAAATTCCAGCCACAAAATTGAGCGAAAAACCAACGTCGAAGACCTGGGAGTGATCATGTCGGAGGATCTCACCTTCAAGGACCATAACATTGTATCAATCGCATCTGCTAGAAAAATGACAGGATTGATAATGAGAACCTTCAAAACTAGGGAGGCCAAGCCCATGATGACACTCTTCAGGTCACTTGTTCTATTTAGGCTGGAATATTGCTGCACACTAACAACACCATCAAGGCAGTTGAAATTGCTGACCTAGAGAGAGAACCTTCACGGCGCGCATAACGGAGATAAAACACGTCAATTACTGGGAGCGCTTGAAGTTCTTGAACCTATACTCCCTGGAACGCAGGCGGGAGAGATACATGATTATATACACCTGGAAAATCCTAGAGGACTAGTACCGAACTTGCACACGAAAATCACTCACAACGAAAGCAAAAGACTTGGCAGACGATGCACCATCCCACAATGAAAAGCAGGGGTGTCACTAGCACGTTAAGAGACCATACAATAAGTGTCAGGGGCCCGAGACTGTTCAACTGCCTCCCAGCATACATAAGGGGGATTACCAACAGACCGCTGGCTGTCTTCAAGCTGGCACTGGACAAGCACCTAAAGTCAGTTCCGGATCAGCCGGGCTGTGGCTCGTACGTTGGATTGCGTGCAGCGAGCAGTAACAGCCTGGTTGATCAGGCTCTGATCCACCAGAAGGCCTGGTCACAGACCGGGCCTCTGGGGCGTTGACCCCCGGAACTCCAGGTAATTCATTAAAATCATAACAAATGTAAAAATTCAAAATGGCGACGAGAAGATGTTTAGTCCTTCTTTGGCGAGAGTTTCGAGGCCAGAACAGACCGAAACGTCGTCTTGTTTCCTGTAACGAGCAACATTTCACTCGTGACTAGTTTTAGTTAGAGCGTAGCCACATTTATCCACAATAATGCTGGCTAAGCAACACTATAAAGCAACGTTTCTCTCTGGGTGAGCTTAATTAAGTCTTGCAAGATGCAGGTGCAACACTTGGATATCATAATCAAGTCACGTTTCGCTCTAGGTAGAGATTTATCACGTTTGGCTCTTAGAGCTTCTGAAAATTTTTGAACGAACTGCCCCCCTTGTGAGGTGCTCACCCTGGCCATTGTTGTTGACACAACACCCTGAGCTAGGACTCCCAGGACCACAAGTGTCTCTACATCATATTTCTGTTACTACTGTTCTTGTAAGAAATTCCTAACTGTACAAGAATGAAGGATAAGTCACTTGTGATATGGAGTTCTTTTCCCTCAGCTCAGTGCCTCTTACTGTGATGGACCTGAATGATGTTCGCTTCTCCATCTGCTCAAATTCCCACTGATGACCGTAACCTATGTTTTCTCAGAAATGTTTTTCCAACTATGCTGGTAGGAATCCCATGTGTTGTCTCACTGCGGACATACCCACAGTGCTTCGGGAAGCCTCTTAAAATGTTGTCTCCAGGTCAAGTGTACTAACATCTGTTCTCCGGACTGATTGCCAAGGCAGGTTTTACCGCTGTTGTGTCTGTGCTACTGAGAGCTGGCGTCTCCCGTCTTCCCGAATATATTAAAGGCCTAATCCTACCTTTGTTAAGATCCTAGGACTACATTAATAATATCTACGGTTAGCTACTACTGTATAAACCAATACAATCGCTAAGTGTGTGTGGGAGGACGTTACGTGGTTATACTGTTTTTACTGTTTCCCTGTGGAAGTTATTGGGTCTCCAGATTAATTTCCACAGAACTTTAAATCTTATTTCGCTCTGGCAAGAGCTTTATAATGTGTTGCCTCGGGTAGATCTTTATCATGCCATGTTTCACTCTGGGTAGATCTTTATCATGCCATGTTTCACTCTGGGTAGATCTTTATCATGCCATGTTTCACTCTGGGTAGATCTTTATCATGCCATGTTTCACTCTGGGTAGATCTTTATCATGCCATGTTTCACTCTGGGTAGATCTTTATCATGCCATGTTTCACTCTGGGTAGATCTTTATCATGCCATGTTTCACTCTGGGTAGATCTTTATCATGCCATGTTTCACTCTGGGTAGATCTTTATCTTGCCATGTTTCACTCTGGGTAGATCTTTATCATGCCATGTTTCACTCTGGGTAGATCTTTATCATGCCATGTTTCACTCTGGGTAGATCTTTATCATGCCATGTTTCACTCTGGGTAGATCTTTATCATGCCATGTTTCACTCTGGGTAGATCTTTATCATGCCATGTTTCACTCTGGGTAGATCTTTATCTTGCCATGTTTCACTCTAGGTAGATCTTTATCATGCCATGTTTCACTCTGGGTAGATCTTTATCATGCCATGTTTCACTCTGGGTAGATCTTTATCATGTCATGTTTCACTCTGGGTAGATCTTTATCATGCCATGTTTCACTCTGGGTAGATCTTTATCATGCCATGTTTCACTCTGGGTAGATCTTTATCTTGCCATGTTTCACTCTAGGTAGATCTTTATCATGCCATGTTTCACTCTGGGTAGATCTTTATCTTGCCATGTTTCACTCTGGGTAGATCTTTATCATGCCATGTTTCACTCTGGGTAGATCTTTATCATGCCATGTTTCACTCTGGGTAGATCTTTATCATGCCATGTTTCACTCTGGGTAGATCTTTATCATGCCATGTTTCACTCTGGGTAGATCTTTATCATGCCATGTTTCACTCTGGGTAGATCTTTATCTTGCCATGTTTCACTCTAGGTAGATCTTTATCATGCCATGTTTCACTCTGGGTAGATCTTTATCATGCCATGTTTCACTCTGGGTAGATCTTTATCATGTCATGTTTCACTCTGGGTAGATCTTTATCATGCCATGTTTCACTCTGGGTAGATCTTTATCATGCCATGTTTCACTCTGGGTAGATCTTTATCTTGCCATGTTTCACTCTAGGTAGATCTTTATCATGCCATGTTTCACTCTGGGTAGATCTTTATCATGCCATGTTTCACTCTGGGTAGATCTTTATCATGTCATGTTTCACTCTGGGTAGATCTTTATCATGCCATGTTTCACTCTGGGTAGATCTTTATCATGCCATGTTTCACTCTGGGTAGATCTTTATCTTGCCATGTTTCACTCTGGGTAGAGCTTTATCATGACATGTTTCACTCTGGGTAGAGCTTTATCATGACATGTTTCACTCTGGGTAGATCTTTATCATGCCATGTTTCACTCTGGGTAGATCTTTATCATGCCATGTTTCACTCTGGGTAGATCTTTATCATGCCATGTTTCACTATGGGTAGATCTTTATCATGCCATGTTTCACTCTGGGTAGATCTTTATCATGCCATGTTTCACTCTGGGTAGATCTTTATCATGCCATGTTTCACTCTGGGTAGATCTTTATCATGCCATGTTTCACTCTGGGTAGATCTTTATCATGTCATGTTTCACTCTGGGTAGATCTTTATCATGTCATGTTTCACTCTGGGTAGATCTTTATCATGCCATGTTTCACTCTGGGTAGATCTTTATCATGTCATGTTTCACTCTGGGTAGATCTTTATCATGCCATGTTTCACTCTGGGTAGATCTTTATCATGCCATGTTTCACTCTGGGTAGATCTTTATCATGTCATGTTTCACTCTGGGTAGATCTTTATAATGCCATGTTTCACTCTGGGTAGATCTTTATCATATCATGTTTCACTCTGGGTAGAGCTTTATCATGTCATGTTTCACTCTGGGTAGAGCTTTATCATGTCATGTTTCACTCTGGGTAGAGCTTTATCATGTCATGTTTCATTCTGGGTAGAGCTTCATCTTGTCATGTTTCACTCTGGGTAGAGCTTTATCATGTTATGTTTCACTCTGGGTAAAGCTTTATCATTTCATGTTTCACTCTAGATAGAGCTTTATCATGGCATGTTTCACCTTGGGTAGAGCTTTATCATGCCATGTTTCACTCTGGGTAGAGCTTTATCATTTCATGTTTCACTCTGGGTAGAGATTTACCATTTCATGTTTCACTCTAGATAGAGCTTTATCATGTCATGTTTCACTCTAGATAGAGCTTTATCATGTCATGTTTCACTCTGGGTAGAGCTTTATCATGTCATGTTTCACTCTGGGTAGAGCTTTATCATTTCATGTTTCACTCTAGATAGAGCTTTATCATGTCATGTTTCACTCTAGATAGAGCTTTATCATGTCATGTTTCACTCTAGATAGAGCTTTATCATGGCATGTTTCACCTTGGGTAGAGCTTTATCATGCCATGTTTCACTCTGGGTAGAGCTTTATCATATCATGTTTCACTCTAGTTAGAGCTTTATCATGTCATGTTTCACTCTGGATAAACACGACGTGATAAAGCTTTATCAAGGAAACGAGGAGTGTCACTCTACTCCACTTACGGGCAGAATCTGTCATTCTCCAACATGAATGTAGGTTATTGAGTTAGAATGAACGTCCAGCAAGTTTCTGGAATGACAGTTCTTATCATTCTTCACCATTAATGTTCGATGTGTTAGTATGAGTCAAGAACAATATACTAGGGCGACAGTACCTGTCATTCTTCAACATTAATGTACGTGAATGTGTTAGAATGAGTCAAGAACAACTTACTGTGGTGGCAGTACCTGCCATTCTTCAACATTAATGTACGTGAATGTGTTAGAATGAGTCAAGAACAACTTACTGTGGTGGCAGTACCTGTCATTCTTCAACATTAATGTACGTGGATATGTTAGAATGAATCAAGAACAACTTACTGTGGTGGCAGTACCTGCCATTCTTCAACATTAATGTACGTGGATATGTTAGAATGAGCCAACAACAGCTTACTGGGGCGACAGTACTTATCATTCAAGAACATCAATATATGTGAAAGTGTTACTACTGACCAAGAATGTCCTGCTGGGGGAGCCACTTGGCCAGACGTACATTGCTAGGTAGACCTTCCATCGTCTCTGTCTCCCACTTCCAGAGAACTCGCTGCTCCAGCGAGGCGAACACCTCCAAAAACACCATCCTGTACCTGCCAGGAGTCAAGACCAGGTCACACTCACCCAGCGAGTACCAAGTGACACAATGTCATACTAGCTAAAGAGGCAATAACGTGACGCTGGCAGTGACACCAGTATCATAAGTACATCAGAGGTGGTCATGGCTGTATGACAAGTAGTGAGTTAGGCTCGAAATAAGTCTAATTAGATTTGAAATGATCTAATTAGGGAAAATTGTTGAGGTAGTTAACGAAGGATACGCGAAAGAATACGGATATTATGACTATTACAATTACTACTACTGCTGTTATTATTGCTAGTACTACCATCACTATTACTACTACTAGTACTACTACTTCAATTATTACTGCTACAACTACTGCTGCTGTTATTACTACTACTATCACTATTACTAATACTATTATTACTACTAATAGTATTACTCTTATGACCCTTGTGAGTTTAGCTTTGATTGTACTACTACTATCAATACTACTACTACTACTATTATCATTACTACTACTACTACTACTACTATCATTACTACTACAACTGCTACTATCATTACAACTACTACTACTACTACTATCATTACTACAACTACTACTACTATCATTACTACTACTACTACTACTATCATTACTACTACTACTACTACTACTATCATTACTACTACTACTATCATTACTACTACTACTATCATTACTACTACTACTACTACTACTACTATCATTACTACTACTACTACTACTATCATTACTACTACTACTACTACTACTACTATCATTACTACTACTACTGCCACTATCATTACTACTACTACTGCTACTATCATTACTACTACTACTACTACTATCATTACTACTACTACTGCTACTATCATTACTACTACTACTACTATCATTACTACTACTACTATTACTGCTTCTATCATAACTACTACTACTTCTACTGCTACTATCAATTACTACTACTACTATGA